TATGCTTTTAAGTTTCCATAGAAAGTCTGTAGTGTCTTGGACAAAACTTGCTTTTTGGGTGACAAGCGGTTTTAGGATTGATTCAACTTAACCTGATATTTCCTCAGTTAGGGTCCCTTGGTTGGATATGATAGGTCTGCCAGGGTTCTCTTGCGGATTTTAGGGAGCATGTAAAAAGTCCCCGGGTTAGGTAGTGGGGGGATCAAGGTCTATAGTTTTTCTTGTAGACCTGATGGAAAAGATTTGATAGTATTGTTGAGTTTCATGATGAAAAGGGGAGTAGGATCTTCTTGTAGTTCTGTGTAGTAGGTGGTGTCAGAGAGTTGTCTGTTAGTTTTGTTTATGTAGTCTGCACGGTTTAGGATGACTATGGCTTCTCCTTTATCTGCTGGTTTTATACTATTTGGTGGTTAGATCTTAGAGATTCTATGGCCTTTCTGGTAGAGGGAGGTTGTTATGGTGGCATGTGTTGTTGATTATTTCATTGTTCATTCTTTCCCTGAAGTGGTCAATGTAGCGGTCAAGGGGGTTAGGGTTTTGTCTGCTGTGGGGTGTCCGATCTGATGTTTTTCGGTGGGTTTTGGGGGTTGATCTTTTCCTCAATGTTGTCAAAGGATGAATTGTTGAGAGTGGATTCAGTTTGGTCGTGGACATGTTCCTGGAGGAAGGGGCGGTGGCAGAATTCTTCTAGTTCTCCACATTAAAGTATTTTATTAGGGTATTTTTCTGGTGAAAATAAAAATAACCATTCTAGTTTTCAAATGTGCCAAGAAACTGGTATTCCATCATTGATATTGAGAAGCCTATTGCCCAGCATCATACAAATTGCTGGCAGGAAGATATTTCTTCCAGATTCAAGATGAAATTCTTCTTTTCCCAATCTTATCCCTGTTGCCCCTAGTTATATTGGAAGATTATTGGAGTTATGTTGGAGGATTGAGCCAAAAGAAATCTCATGAGATTCAACAAGGACAAGTGTAAAGTCCCGCGCTTAGGACAGAACAATCCCATGGGACTGGCTGAGGGTTGACTGGCTGGGCAGCAGCTCTGCAGAAAAGGTCCTGGGGGTGATGGTGGACAAGAAGGTGGATATGAGTCAACAGTGTCCCCTTGCTGCCAAGACAGCTAATGGTGTCCTGGGCTGCATTGGTAGGAGTGTTGCCAGTAGATAGAGGGAAGTGATGTTTCCTCTCTCTTCAGCACTGGTGAGGCCACATCTGGAGTACTGTGTTCAGTTTTGGGACCCCTGCTACAAAAAGGACGTGGACAAGTTGAAGAGAGTCCAGCGGAGGGCAGTGAAAATAGTTCAGGGGCTAGGGCACATGATTTGTGTGGAGAGGCTGAGGGACCTGGGCTAATTTAGTCTGGAGAAGAGAAGACTGAGGGGGAGATTTGATAGCAGCCTTCAACTCCCTGCAGGGGGGCTGCAAAGAGGATGGAGCTGGGCTGTTCTCAGTGGGGGCAGATGACAGGGCAAAGCGCAGTGGGCTCAAGTTGCAGCAAGGGAGTTTTAGGTTGGATATTAGGAAAAACTTTCTCGTGGGGGTGGTGAAGCACTGGAACAAGTTACCTAGAGAGGTGTTGAAATCTCTATCCTTGGAGGTTTTTAAGGTCTGGCTCAACAAAGCCCTGGCTGGGATGATGTAACTGGGGCTGGTCCTGCTTTGAGCAGAGGGGATTGGACTAGATGCGACTTCCTGAGGTCCCTTCTAACCCTCATTTTCTATGATTCTGTGTGTGTTAACAGTAGTGGTCAGTAACGGCTGAAGCTGTAACAAAGGTTGCCAGATTCTTCCATCAATTACTCCTTTTTCAGTCGTTTACAACTTTGCCATTGTCAGGGACTTGGGGGTCGTGATTGACCACAAGATGAATACGAGCTGCCAATATGATGTTGCAGCTGGTAAAGCGAGCAAAGCTCTGGCTTGCATCCATAGATGCTTCTCAAGCAAATCCCAGGATGTCATCCTCCCACTGTTCTTGGCCTTGGTGAGGCTGCAGCTGGGGTACTGCATCTAATTCTGGGCTCCACAATTTTAAAAGGATGTGGAGAAGCTTGAGAGAGTCCAGAGGAGTCATGCGCATGATCAGAGGGCAGGAAAACAGGCCTTATGATGAGAAACTGAGAGCCATGGGACTCTTCAGCCTGGAAAAGTGCAGGCTCAGAGGAGACCTGGTGGCTGCCTACAAGTATATAAAGGGTGTACATCAGGATCTGGGGGAATGCCTGTTCACCAGAGCACCCCAAGGGATGACAAGGTCAAACGGTCACAAACTCCTCCAAGACTGTTTCAGGCTGTCCGAGCACCCAAGGCCTGGAACAGACGGCCTCCAGAGGTGGTGCAAGCACCTACTCTGGACTCCTTTAAGAGACATTTGGATGTTTACCTTGGTGGGATCCTTTGACCCCAGGTGACTTCCTGCCCCTGGGGCAGGGGGCTGGGCTCGATGGTCTCCTGAGGTCCCTTCCAGCCCTAATGGCTATGAAATCTAGGTGAACGGTCACATAACGTCTGTGCAAAAAGGAGCAAAGTTAAAGTAGAATGGAGAACATGAATTCCATCATTCCATGATTGCAGCTAGATTTTAAAACTTTACTTAAAGTACAGAAACCATAGTTCTTAAATAATTCAGCAACCTCTTTGGTTTTTACTCGCTTTAAGTATTTCTGGATTCTGGTATGTCTGATATTACTGTCCCCTCCTAGTAGTTGCTTAGAATGGTTTTGACTGTACCATATAAGCTGTAGAGTTCCTATGTCTGTTGTTTCTTCCATCCTTCTAAATCCCTCCATTGGTTGGTGCCTTTCTAGTAAGAGGTTGCTTGGAATGAAGACAACCTTTTCCAGTTGTTGGTGGGCCCTTGCTCTGTCAAAATATCTGTATTTTTCTTCTGTTGATGGTTTACAGGTATTGGATTCGTAGAGTGAAATCTTTTTTGAGGATTAAACTTAAGATGTAGCCAAGTTGCACTAGATTCAAGAGAAAAGTCACACTAAGGTCCTGCACTCAACCGTACTGCCCCAGTGCATGAATAACTCCTGCTCACATTGTTAGAGGCTTGTGGCTTACTTCTGTGACCCTTCTGTTTTCCTAGGTGCTGCGTTTCCTCCGCCTCTTTGGCCCTGGGAAGAATGTTCCATCTGTTTGGCGTAGTGCCCGCCGGAAACGCAAGAAGAAGCACCGGGAGCTCACTCAAGAAGTGCAGATCCAGGAGGGTGAAGCCACGGCTGAGGCAGGAGCAGAAGGAAAGTCACCCTGGGAATATGAGTTTGCTCCTCCTCCTCCTCCTGAGCAGTGCCTTTCAGATGATGAGGTGGGGAGTCTGAAATCTAGGAAGGGCCTGACTAGCAAATGGAACGCTCTTCACCCCCATCCCAAGAGCATCTGGGTGAAAGCTGGCTTGGCTTCCATTTTCTATTGTGCAGAGGCCCTGTGTTCATTCTGTTAGGCAAGAGGCAGTATTTTGCCTTTTATGGTATAGCTGTGGGGATTCCTTGTATTGCTAGTGGCCTTATCCCGGCATTCTCTACAGCAGCACTTAAGGTTGAAAAGGTTTCTGTAGGAAATGCTTCATGGAGAAAAAGACAGAACACTTGCAAGAAATGCCTCTTATTACCAGCTCTGGCAACAGTGGCCGATGGATTCCCTTTTCTCATGCTGCTCTAGATCACTATGATGGCACCTGTGGAGTCCAAGTTTTCCCAGTCAACAGGAGATATAGACAAAGTGACTGATACAAAGCCCAAGGTGGCTGAGTGGCGTTATGGGCCTGCCCAGCTCTGGTATGACATGTTGGGGATCCCAGAGGACGGCAGTGGGTTTGACTATGGTTTCAAACTAAAAGACAGAAAGAAGGACCAGGAGACTAAAGGACAGGGTGATGAGCAGGTGAGAGGTGCATATGCTTGGGGTGAGGGGCTGGCTGGCAAATGGTGGCGGTCAGTCATGTTGGAAAAGGCATGGGGTGAAGGTAGTGCGGAGCATGGTAGCGAAGAGAAGAAGCTGCAGTGGATGGATGACTAAGGCTGGGAGACAACTTAGTGGAGGAAGGGTAGTGAGGAGCAGGGTGCACTGTAGAGTGGGGTGGGGGCGAAGGGATCATACAGTGGAGGAAATGGGGAGTTTTAAATTCTTTCTTTTAGTCCTGGAACACTTTTCATCTGCAGGATGCAGGGTTGATGCTGGAGAAGGATGATCTACTGGCTGATGAGCACTTCCTCATGGTGACACAGCTGCAGTGGGAGGATGATGTGATCTGGAATGGGGAGGACGTCAAGCACAAAGGGACTAAGACACAGCGAGCAAGCCTGGCAGGCTGGCTGCCATCCAGCATGACCAGGAATGCCACTGCCTACAATGCCCAGCAAGGTGTGTGGCAGTGACCTCCCACCTTCTCACTGCTGCAGTCCAGTGAGGCAGAGTGCAGGGTGCGATGCTGAGGCCCAGGCCTTTTGTTAGTCTTCTTGTAAAGAAGCTATACTTCTGCTGTTAGAAAAGAGCACGTGCCAGCCCAGCTAAGCATCTGCCGCCTCCTGTTCTGTAATCAGAGTGAGTGGGGTGCCCATCTCACTCAGCACCACCCTGATGCTGTAGTGGTGACTCCATTCTGTTTGAATTTATGGGAGTTCCAAGATCCGTTTGCCACACAAGTAAATATCTGTCTGTCCCTTGGGGACCAGGTGTATTTTCTATATCAATTCTCCAACTAGAAGACTTTTTAAAGAGGAGCCTCTTGCATTGCTTTTGAAACAATGTCTCCCAAATTTCTGTCAGAGGTAGGGCCCTTTTTACATTTACACTGAAAATGCAGAATTGCTGTTCATGATAGTTTGTTTCACCTTTGCAGAGAAATGTCAGTGGGTCTCAGATGATGCCAGATTTTCCATTTTTATATGTTGGTGCTAGCCTGCTTCCTGAGCACACCCAACTGTATTCTTTTGTCACTGTGGGCAGTCATGAAAGCAAAAGAGGTAGCATGAGACAAGGGAAGATGGGCAGAGACGGTGGGCAAGGAGAAATGAGGCTGTTTGGGGAGTGTCAGAAATTGGGAGCAGGCTTTTGCTGTGTTGTGCAGACTGCTCTCCCTAGCAGTGATGGGGTCCTAGCTGACTGCTTCACCAGGCTGCAGTGCCATGCAGAGCTGTGAAGGCTGACTGGGGCAGGAAGGATGAACTGTTTTATAGTGGGAGGGTAGCAGGTCATCAAGGCCCTGGTGGTAGAAGGAAGCCTGGGTGGTTGGTAAGTGTGTGACTGTTGATAGCTAAAGGGCTGTCAATGCTCCCAGCAGTAGCACCCTTGTACTCTTGTGTCTTGAGCTTCCAACACTCCCAGTTCGCTCCTGTACATCAGACATCAGAGCTGCAGGGAGCATGAGGCTTTGTGGGGGAGGGAATTCAAAAGGAGGGTGTAGATGGAGCTGTGGGATAGTAGAGAGGCAGAAGAACCATCCATGAGCCCCAGAAAAAAGAGGCAGGCCAGCACCTTCTAGAGCTCTTTTCCTGATCTGGTATGGGAACAAGCATTTCAGACCAGAACTTCATGTGACATTTGACTGAAGGGGGGAGAAGTGCTTTTAGCTTCTGCCACTGTCTCTTAACCGTGACCTTGTATTTTTCATGTACAGGTAACTTACTGCAGACTGTTAGTGCTCTTGTCAGCAATGTTTGAGCAGTGACTGAATTGGGTTGTGGAGAAATGTGACATGCATGCTGGCAGGACAGGGTGGCTGGTGGGTGAGGAATTGCATACTCTGCACAAGGGACAGGCAGGATATAAGACCTGCTATACTGTGTCAGACCAAAGTCCATCAAGCCCAGGGTTTGATCAGCTTCACTGGCAAGTAGCAGGTGTTTTAGAGGAAGGGTATAAGATGTGGCTTATTTGTACAGCAAGACGTTCCCTGTCCTACCCTCCCTGTTACCAGAAGTCCTAGTTTTAGGGGTGTCTTGAGTGTGGGGTTACTTGTGTTTAATATGGGCCTGTCCTTCAGAAATCAATTTCTAATCCCTTTGTCAGCTCAGTTTTGCTGTTGGCCTCCACAGTGTCCTGTGGCAGTTAGTCCCATAAGTTAATTGTGCACTGTGTAAAACATTGGGGGCCAACCTTTTTGGCAGGGGTGCCACCGCGCACCCTCCCCAAGTGCCACTCTGCTTTCCTTCTTCTGCCTGATTTTGCTCTGCTTCTTGCCCTGTGCTCCCTGCCCCATTTGCTGCTTTGCTTTCTGCTTCCTGCCACATCTGCTTCTGCGTTGCCTGTCCCCTCCCCAATCAGCCACAGGCAGTGTCTGGCACGTGTGCTGCAGATGGGTGATCCCTGGTGTAAAAAATACTTCCTTTTGTGTTTTAAACCTGCTGCCTGGTGAAGCTACAGTGTGAGATGAAGGATCTGACTCCACTCAGGCTGAGGAGGTGGCAGCTGGGAAAACTGCTTCAGTTTCTGCTCTCTCTTGAGATAGGGTGCCCAAAATTGAACACATGACTTATCCTGACTTGTAAGAACACTTCTTTATAGAATGGTCCAGTATGTTGCAATATAATGATTTTGTTTGCTTTCTTAGTCAACTTTGCACATTAAGTGGGTTTTTTGAACTGAGCTGATCAAAATAACAGTCAAAGTTGCACCCTGTCTGGTACCGATATCCCCTCTCTGAATTAAAGGCTGCTTGGCTTGGAGTGGAAAGAATACAGTGTTTCATTCCTCTCAGCACTGTAGAGCTTCTAGCTAGCAGCAGCCATTTTGCTGCAATATAATGTTTTTTGGGATTGCAGTCATAATGCTAAAGTTCCCCCAGGGCAGATGCTGGGAGTTGTTCTCCACTGAGCTTTGAATTGTGGTTTAGCAGGTGGCAGAAATGCCTTAATGTTGTGTGTTCTCTTCTACAGGCCTGAACCGTAGTGGCTCTTTGCTCAATCCACCCATTCCACTTTCACAGAAACCCAGCATTGCAGGGGTTCTGGGCATCGCAAAGAGCAAAGAGAAGCAGCCCCCTGAGCAACAAGGTAACAGGGCTTGGGTCTGTCAGTGGCAGGGTATGAGAGACTGGGCTCCATGTCAAGGGTGGGAGGGTCCTGCAGTGATCCTGAGCTGTGGGTCAGAGCTGTGTCCTGCTGACTTCCAAATCCTGTGCAGAGCTTCTCTCTGTTGAAGAACATAAGTACCAGACTGGGTCATACCAGTGGTGCATGTTGCCCAGTAGCCTGTTTGCAGCTGTGGCAGGACTAGGTGCTTTAGGGGGAGAGCACTGAGCTGGATGTCTGTACAGCATTGCTGCTCAACCTTTTATGCCTTGCAGGCAGATGAATGGTACAGAGCCAGCGCACAGACCAGATTAGGACTCATGATGTCTCTGTCCAGGCTGTGCACTGGGACCAGGCCCCAGTCAGTTTCACAGCACCCAGATTGGCACTGTGTGCCCTGTCTAGTGTGCAGGGCTATGTTATCTGTCCTGTGGGGCTCCCCACAGGTTCAGAAATTTGGCAGCAGGGTGTTGGAATTAGCTACCACTGCTACCCTGCCGCCAAATTTTCAGTCTGTGGTGAGACACGTGTGCCAGATCTGGCCTGTGGGCCAGGGGTTGAGCACCACGGAACTAGAGCAGGGGTGGGCAAAATATGGCCTGTGGGCCAGATCTGGCCTACAAAGGGGCTTTGTCCAGCCTGCGGCAGGTCCTTTGGTCCTGCCTGGACCAGGCACTGTCCTGCCATGATGTGTCCTGCCTCCCCCTCGGCATGCAGTCTAGGCAGCTGTGTCTAGGCAGCCCAGGTGGCAGCAGCTGCTTGCAGCTGCTGCTGCTGCTGGCTCCAGCCCTGTGGTACTGGCAGGGACCCATGCACAGCCCCGATCCACCTTGCGCCTGCTGTGGACTTGCATGCTCACACTGAACAGGTGGAGCAGCGGCAGCACTGGTGGGGCAGAAGTGTGCTTGGCACAAGGGCAAGTGGCCCCTCCCCCTCACTGCTGCCCAGCACTTCCTGAAGCAACCAGGCTCCAGGTGGCTGCTGCAGGAAGTGCTGGGCAGCAGTTGGGGGCGGGGAGGGTTTCCCCCCCATGGCGCCAGTGCTGAGCACACTTGTGCCCCGCTAGTGCTGCTGTTTCTGTAGCTGTTCATAACGAGCAGGTGAGTCTGCAGCAAGTGCAGGGCAGGTTGCAGCTCTGCCCGTATCTCTGCCAGTACCATGGGGCTAGGGCCAGCAGCTGCTGCTGCTGCCTAGAAAGGCAGTCCAGCTGCAGAGCTGCCCCAGCCCCTCTGTGTGCCCATACAGCAGCAGGACCTGCTACAGCTCGTTGGTGCAGAGCAGGCACGAGGTGGGCCAGGTTGGGACTGTGCACACCTCTGGATGATTTTGCTCCTGCCGGAAGAGCAGGCTGCAGTGGGGCTGGGGCTGTGTGCTCTTGGCAGTGGCAGGGAGGTGCCACAGGGCACGTTGGCTCCAGGCTGTTGTGGGGTGGGGGCCAGCGCAGTGGGCTTCCATGTATACCCCAGCATACCCACAAACCCTCCTCCCCCTGCCTGCCACGCACATACTGCATCCACCCACACCCTCCACACATGCACCCCTCCCATACACCTGTGTGCCTCTGGAGTGAGCCCCGCTCACTGCTGCCCACACGCACCCCACAAGCCCCATACCCACCCACCCTTCACCACGTACATACACATCCACACTCATGCCCACAGGCATCCCCCACAAACCCCATACACCGCCACCTCCACATCCCATGCAATATGCAAGTGTAAGACTTCGTTTTGAGCTGGTATGCAGTCACCTCCATATACACAATGCAAATGCACACAAATCAGGTCAAAAATATTGTTTTCAAATAAAATATGTTATTGTGTATTTTTTTATTTTTTTTTGTATCTAATTTGGGGGTTTGTTTTTTTTTGATTCCAAGATGGCAAACCCCCTTCCCAAAAGAAGTATTTCTGGGGCAAGGGGAGGGACTTCTGCTGGCAGAGGGCAGGGATTAGAGGTTGGGACTTTGGTCCCAAGATGGTGACCTGGGGGCAGGGCACCTGTCGGGGGTGGGGGGGGCCTACCGTTGCGGCCCTTGACAGCTTGCTAAAACTCGTTACGCAGCCATCCAGCCAAAATAATTGCCCGTCCCTGATCTAGGGTGATCCAGGGGCTCCCAACCTTTCTATGTTGCGGCCTGGCAAACTGCGGACTGGAAGTCACAGCAGACTGGCAAACTGCAGACCAGCAGTAACCAGCATACTGTGGGCAGGCAGACAACCCTTTTTTATACTCAGTATACTCAGTATAAAAAAAGGGTTGGCTGCCAGTCCTCAGTATGCTGGTCATTTCCACTCCGTGGTTTGCCGATCCATGGTCACTTCTCTCCTGCGGGCTGGCACTGGGCCACAGCCCAGGGGGTGGGAACCACTGGTCTATTCAACACCGCCCCCCCGTACCCCCGATAACCACCATTATTGGTTCAGAGGTACCAGAGAATTCATCCAGGGATTTATCCAGTCCCTCTTTGAACCTGGCTGCGCTATCTGCTTCTACCACTCACTGGCAGTGAATTCCATGAGCTAATTGTGTAAAAGGTGCTTTCTCTTGTTAGTTTTAAACTTGTCACTACTTGGGTTCACAGACTTCATGATTTCACTTCTGTTATATCCCCCTCAGCCTTCTCCTTTCCAAACTGAAGAGTCCTAGCTTTTTTACCTTTTCCTGGTATGGCCACTGCTCCATGCCCCAATCATTCTGGCAGCCCTTCTCTATCTTTTCTAATTCTATATCTTTTTTAAGATGGGCCCAGAGCACAATGTAGCCAAGATGTGAATGCATTTATGGACTGGTGCAGTGGCATGGGGGATGTTCTCTGTTTTGCTTTCTATTCCCTTAATGATGCCCAACATGTTATTGGCTTTTTTTGGTTGCTGCTACACACTGAGCTGATGTTTTTATAGAGCTGTACGCAATGACTCCAAGGTTTCCTTTCTGAGTCGTAACAGCTGGTTCAGAACCCAGCACTGTGTATTTTGAGTTGAAGTATTTGTTTTTCCCCCGGTGCATTACCTTGCACTTGGCAGCATTGAAGTTCATCTGCCACTTTTTTGCCCACTTGCTTAGCTTGGTGAGACCTTTCTGTGGCTCTTCTCCATCAGCTTGGGGCTTGACTGTCCAGAATAATTAGGCATTGTCTGCAAACTTGGAGAGAGCAGTGTGCTCCCCCATTTCAAGGTCATTGATGAAAATGTTGAACAAAATTGAGGCCAGCACAAATCCCTGTGGGACCCCACTTTTGACTTCCTTGCCTCCTGAAATGTCACTGATGTGCCCTATCCTTTGCTTCCTACCATTTAATTAGCTTGCAGTTCATAAAAGAGTCTTCCCTCCAATCCCATGGTATCACAGGTTTGTTTGTTTGTTTGTTTTTAAAGCCTTTGGTGAGGGGTCTTGTCGAATGCTTTTTTGAAAGTCCAAATAATATTCTGTCACCTGGATCCCCCTTGTCCATGTGCTTGTTGACACCCTCAAAGAACTCCAGTGGGTTGATAAGGCAGGGTTTCTCGTTACAAAAAGCTTGCTCTCAGAGCACAAAACCCATTTCTCTTAGACAATCGCCATTGGCCTCATCAAGCAAAGCCTCTGGGAGCTCTTCAGGAATATTTTTTTTTCAGGTGTGCTTGTGCAGACTACAGTGCAAAGTTCTGTTTGGTTTGCTTTGCCCTTGGGAGGCCCAAACCCAAGAGCCTCAAAGGAGGGATGATCAGAGAGAACTGATGTGGGGCAAGGGTACTGAGTTGGGAATCTACAAGGGTCCTTGCTATGGAGTGCAAAGCCCTCAAAAATCGCATCTCACTGTCTTTGCAGTTACTCTAGATGAAGATAAACCCTGGTACTCCATTTTCCCTATTGATAATGAGGAGTTGGTATATGGCCGCTGGGAAGACAATATCATTTGGGATGATCAGGCAATGGAAACATGCTTGGATCCTCCAGTTTTGACACTTGATCCGAATGATGAAAATATCATCCTGGGTATGTTTATGGCATTAGCTCATTGTGTCTGTTTATCTCACTTTCCCTTGTTTCACCCTTGTGTATCTATCTTCAGGTCAGCTAGGATGAGTAGGGAATGAAGACTACTTATTGGTGGGTGGAGGATGCTAATGGGAACATGGGTGGTGTAGAATACTCTGGGCTTGTTCTAGAGGGATGAAAGTGGAAGCATGGGAATGTAGTTGTACTTCAGGGACTTTTTAGCATTATTTTAGGGGTAGACTTGTCTCCTGTTTAAAGATTTCTGAAGACTTTTCACAAATGATTCCAGAGCTGTCAAGAGATAACTGAAAACTGTAATTGATAGCCCTGATAACTGTGGCATGTGCGCTTCTAATGCCACATTCAAACCATTAGCTGAAAGCAAAAGCAAACCAAAGCACATTTAATAAATGAAAGGCTGAGGCAGAAATTACATTTGTCGCATGATTGGCCCCTTGAAATTGCTGTACCCAGACAGAAGAATATGGTTGCAGAGCCCTCTGATTGCAGGACAAATTAACTCTCATTGTATGAGGATTTGAATGAAGCTATTCCTAAGTGGAATGACTTAGTTAATTTCTGTCTGCTCATTCCAGCAGCTGTCTCTGGATGGGAGGGTGAGAAGGCAGGGGAGGGAGGTCCCTTCCGGGGTTTCTCAGCCCCACTGGAATGGTAGGAGGCCAGTGCATTGGAGCCCCTCAGCTTGGAGGGGGTGTCCAGTTAACCTGCCCCCACCCTTATCCAACAGGGCTGAGAGAACCCTAGAACAGCCTTTCTCTTCTGCCTTCTACCCCCTCCCATCCAGAGAGTGTGGAGCCAGGGGAAGATGGAGCCAATCCATGGAGACAGGCTGCAAATTGGAACCGATCCTCTGCCCTCCTGATCCAATGGCTAATGTCTGTTGGATTGGGAGGATAGCTCTTACTCATGGCAGTTTTTATGAATCACCATGAATTAAATCCCAGGAGCTGCGCTTCTGTCTGCACCTAAAATGATTCTGCCTCCTTGTGTCTTTCCTCCTAAATGGTAGTTGCCCATGTCTTACTTTTGAGGGAACAAAGAGAAGGAAACTATAGCCTGCCTTGTCATTGTCCCTGGCAGAACCCTCAAGCACCTCAGAGACTCTGAGAACCGTCCCTTAGGTTGCAAAAACTACATTAAGAAGCAGGGTTTCTTCTATAGGATGGGCCTTTTTGCTATTTCACTACATGTTGGGCTCCATGAATCTTCTCTGAAAGAATGTAAATCAGCTCTGGCATTTGTTTGAAAGATCCTGAAAGAGCAGCTCTTTGTGCTCTGGGAGGTTCATTCGTTGCAGTGTCAAAGTTGATTTTATGGTGGGAAGTAGTAGGATCCTTTTGGGAGATGAACAAATGCTAAGAGGTTTTCAGAAGCAGTTCTCATTTCTTTATACATGAGAAATTGTGCTAATGGTATGGGAATCCTAGGAGCAGTGCTGCGACTATGTTCTGTAAGTTCTATGTTCTTCTCATAGAAATTCCTGACGAAAAGGAAGAGATGACTTTGAATTCACCCTCCAAGGAGAACAAGAAGGAATCTTCTTTGAAGAAGAGTCGGATCCTGTTGGGGAAAACAGGTGTCATCAAGGAAGAACCACAACAGGTCAGCATGAGACTTGGGATTTGTGGCTAGGAGTGAGCTGGGAAGAACAATTCTGATTCATAGTTTGCTTTTTTTTTTTTTTTTTTTTTTTTTTTTTTTTTTTTTTTTTTTTTTTTTTTTTTTTTTATGGTGTTAAATCAGAATATGTCTCAGCCGGAGGTGAAGGATCCCTGGAACCTCTCCAATGATGAGTTTTACTATCCCAAACAGCAGGGCCTTCGAGGAACTTTTGGAGGCAATATCATCCAGGTACTGGCCAGTGTTCCCTCTAAGTTGCGTGCGTGCATGGCTGTGCACAATAAAAAATGATGCTGCACAATAACTTTTTAATGCTGTGCACGTAGTGGCATACCGACAGGGTGGGGGGCAGTAGGGGGCCATGGCCCCCCGGACGCTGGCCTGGGGGGGAGAAGGGGGAGAACGCCCAGTGCCATAGCAAGGGGGCGCCGACGCTTCCCCTGCTGCTGGTTTGACGTCCGGCCTCTCACCACCCGCCCCGACCCGGCCACAGGCTGCTGCGAGTGGTGGGGAGGGGCAGGCACACTGAGATACCTGCACACTCCCAGCCAAGATTGCTCACGGATCACTAAACCTTAGAGGGAACATTGGTAGTGGCAATGTGATGCTGGATGCAGGGTGGAAGGAACAATGTTTCATCCTCAGTAGAAACCTGTTGTGGTTTGGAGCTGCCTGCACAGGGGTGCTCAGGAGAATCTGTCTGAACTGTATTTAGATGTGAATTCCAAACGGATTTGAGTGTCCACACAGGAAGTTAATGCTGTGTAACTAAAGCATTTAGTTTGGATAAATATTCCTGAGTGTCCACATGTACCCAAGCCCTTAACAGACTCTGATGTGCCCGCAGAATCACTGAAGTAAATCACCCTGATGTACCTCTCTCAGATTTTCATTGTTCATGATCTATTTCCTCCTTCTTCTCAAACTCCAGGATTGTTTCATTTCCTGTGTTCTGTCAATAAAGTAGTGCCTCCATAATTGTACCATGCCAGTCCTACCCTGAGTTAAACAAATCCATCTGTTTAGAGCAAGGGTGGGCAAAATACAGCCCGTGGGCTGGATCTGGCCCTCCAACTAATTGGATCCAGCCTGCAACAGGTGCCCACCAATTGATTGCATCTGGCCCATGGTGCTCCTTATGGGGTTGAGTCCTGCCTGGGGCAGCCTGTGCCATACTCCCAGCTGCCCCTGGCCAGTGCACACAGCTTCCCAGTGGGGCTGCTCTTGGTGTGGCTGCAGCTCCCAGGGTACTGCTTGGCTTCCTCCTCCTGCCCCTGCTGTGATGCTGCAGGCAGCGGGCAATGAGGGGAAGCTGTGGGGATGCGTGCTGGGCAGCAGGTTCCCTGCCAAGTCGGGGTGGGAGGGAAACTTAAGCTGGGCAGTTTCCACTCTACTCAAAAGAGCATAAATCAAAAATTATTTTTTGAAATAAATTTGTTATAATAGATAGCTGACTTTTTTTTAGTATATGATTTGTTTTTTATTTATAATTTATTAAAATGATATCTTCCGATAGATTTTTGTGCGCTGCCCTCTACAGCTTGCCAGAACTCGTTTAGCAGCCCTCCAGCTGAAATAATTACCCACCCCTGGTTTAGAGTAATTTTTTCTAGATCTTAGGATGTTGATACCTTATTTTTGTTGCTAATGAGACCATTTCATCTGATGTGGAGATTATTAGGTGTTAGTTAGACATTAGTATATTAGTCACCCCATGTCTATAGAAAGGCAAAGTTGTGATTTGGGTCATAAGATCCCAGCTAGTTTCCCAGAAATGCAGGGAAAATGTATGCATTCCTAAAACTCCTCTTTCTCTCCTATGGGGTTGGAGAAAATGTACCTGTTCCTATATCATTCTTCCTAGTGGGCACTTTTTAAAAAATGTTAATGAGGACAGTTTCTCTTACGGTTCAGAGAATGAGAGAGAGTTTCCATGACCAGACATCTTCTGTCTGAGGATGGAAGTGCCAGGGGTGAGACTCAATAGGCTGTTTACTTTTACTGCCGATAGACTGAAGATGTTTCTAGGCTATGCTATACCTGATGAGGGGAGGATGCTTCTGCATCGTGGATGCTGGAGCATGGCATCTGTATTGAGTTCGATGTCCTGAGTCTGTGTTTCTGTCTTGGACCAGCATTCTATCCCTGCAGTGGAGCTTCGCCAGCCGTTCTTTCCCACTCATATGGGTCCTATGAAGCTTCGACAATTTCATCGCCCTCCATTGAAAAAATACTCCTTTGGGGCCTTGTCCCAGCCAGGACCCCATGCCGTGCAACCACTGCTGAAACATATTAAGAAGAAAGCCAAGGTAAAGCCCAGGTAAATCAAGATCCTACCATGGCAGATATTTGGCTGCTTGTTTCCCTGATGACGTCTCTTGCCCCACACACAGATGAGAGAGCAGGAACGGCAGGCTTCAGGAGGCGGTGAGATGTTTTTCATGCGCACGCCGCAGGACTTGACTGGCAAGGATGGTGACCTCATTTTGGCTGAGTACAGTGAGGAGAATGCCCCTTTAATGATGCAGGTTGGCATGGCAACAAAGATAAAGAATTACTACAAACGGGTGAGTACAAAGTTTATTGTTCAGGCACCGTTTCCTGTCTGTTGTTGGGTGCTGACTGCACCTGCTTTGCTTCTTACAGAAACCTGGCAAGGATCCTGGAGCCCCAGACTGCAAATATGGAGAGACTGTTTACTGTCACACATCTCCCTTCCTGGGATCCCTGCACCCAGGCCAGTTACTGCAGGTGAGGTGGGGGTGTGGGGGGGAGGGCAGGGGCCGGTCTTGATCTTTCTGGATCCACCCGCCAGCTGTAGAGGGTGGCAAGGCTCTGGGGTGGAAATCTCCCTTTCAGTCCATTTGTCCCTAGGTTGGAAGGGCCCTTGGGAAGTCATGTAGTCCACCCCTTTGCTCCAAGGAAGGATCAACACTACCTAAGCAGTTTCTAACCTGTTCTTAACTTCCAGCATGGAGATTCTTCCACCTCCGTGGGTGCGAGCTACTCTAGCCTTTAACTGTCCCTGCTTTCTTAATGTGTTTAATGGTTTTAGTTTATGAGAGGTTGGGTTGAGTGTGCTGTAGTTCTCTTTGGATAAATGGTTGCCTGCCTGTAAATGCAGGAGACTGGACTCAGTGGCACAGGAGACCCATCTCTCTGGTCTTATTTTCGTAAGCTAAATTACTGTCATTTTCATCCACATTCCATCAACTGAGCTTAAAAATTGGAAGACTTACCAGATGCCAGTTATTGCAAGAGAGGGACTCATCCCTATCTGCTGGTTAACTGGGCTAGAAGCTGTCATTGAGAAAATTGTGGTTGCAGTAGGATGAGGAAAGATTAGAGAGTCTTAAACCCCGGTACTGTAGTAAGAACCACCTGGTGACGGAACTTGTGACAAATTGTATTGTTGACATGTCTGGTTCTGGCTAACATTTGACTGGTTTTGCTGTAGCAGCATTGTGGGCCTGCAGTGTATGATACCAAGAAGCAAAGTTGGCAGAAGATGTGGGCAGGGAAGCAAGATGGAGGCATGCAGATTTTAAACCATGATCCCCTGGTCCAATAGTTAAGCTATGTGCTGTTTTCAGAATAAATCCCCCTGCCCAGTCCATTCCCTAGATCTTTCTCCAGCTTGATGCATGTGTCACACTTCTCCCTCTCTCCAGGCAGATGCGCAGCTCATTCAGAAGACAGACATTTGTATACAAGTAGCAGACCTAGGCAGTTGGCTCTCTTTGGGCAAGTAGGCCTTCAGGAAGCAAATGGGGAAATAAGAGTGTCTTGTGAGGGTCCCAATCCATGCAAGGGTAAGGTTTGGAGAAGTCTAACAAGTGAAGTGACAAAACTGGTGTTGTAGATAGAGATGTTGGGTGGGAGGGGGAGTGGTGGTATATAAAGGTAAATAGGAAAGGGGTTCAGCTTGCTTTCCTTTATCTTCATGACACTGAGTCTGTTCCCATCTGTCTTCCCCTCTGAGCTCCTTTTTCTCTATGCAGTCTTATTTCCTCAGTATCTGATGTTCTGTCCTCGCTTCTCACTGGAACTTCTCCACTTTCAAGCTTTGCACTTACCTGCCTCGTCCCCAGGCTTGGAATCATCTCCCTTTTCTGTCTGCCAAGTGCCTTTTCTGTTACTACTTCAAAATTCCTCCCCGAAGCCCGGTCTAAGGAATTCTTTGCATTTTGTTTTTGGATCTTCCCGTATCTTAATTATTGTCCCATGTCTTTGCCCTGAAGTAGGGCACATGTCTCCTTCTTGTACATGTTTATATATCATGGATTTAATGTTTATGGGGACTATAAGGATGACTATCTTGCTGATCCTTTTTCAAGACTTTTGTTTGTTGCAAAATCCCTGATTGATGCCTGATTTTCAAACTTTGGTTTATTTCTTTGTTAGGCATTTGAAAACAACCTCTTCCGGGCTCCTATCTATCTGCATAAGATGCCAGAAACTGATTTCCTCATAATTCGGACCCGACAAGGCTATTACGTTCGGGAACTGGTGGACATCTTTGTTGTTGGTCAGGAGTGCCCTCTTTTTGAAGTTCCAGGTCCTAACTCTAAACGGGCTAATACTCACATCAGAGATTTTCTTCAGGTATGTCCTAGATGTGTCATTTCAGTAAGTAATCCTCAGAGAGAGTGCATGAGCTGGGCACAGGCTTATTAGGACAGCCCTGCACTGTGGCGCTCATTGTCTGTGCTATGCCTGTGTGAGACCACAGTATAAAAGACACTTTAGTTAAGTAATTTTATTTAATCAATTACCTATCAAGTTCTCATGGCTCTTTACATTGTTGTTCTTTAGGTAAATTTCAGCTTGGGAGACTTATTATCAACATAAGTTTTAAATCCCACTTCGGCTAATTGGCAGGGGGGGAAGCAAGAAATTATACAATGCAAAATAAATATTGTTGTTTGGTTATTGCCAGACTCTGGAATAGACTCTTAGCAGGGGTGGTGTAGGCACGTATCTTGGAGATCTTCAAAAGGAGACTGGATGCATACCTTGCTGGAATTATTTTGACCACATGTGCATCAGCTGATTGGGACTCCTTTGTGTGCTTGAGGCTGGGAGCACTCAGCAGCTGACTGCTGCTCCCAGCTTTCAGGACACAGCGGCATCAAGGGATTCGGTGTGGTTCCCAGCCTCAGGGGCACAATCAGCTGCCTCTCCCAGCCTCCAGGGTGCATTGGAGCCTGGAAGTGCAGATCTGCACTCCAGCCTTGGCTGTATCTGAACGTTTAACTCCTATGGGAAGTTTAGGTTCAATATGAGGCAAAACTTTCTCACTAGGAGGGTGGTGAAGCACTGGAATGGGCTACCTAGAGCGGTGGTAGAATCTCCATCCTTGGAGGCTTTTAAGGCCTGGGTAGACAAAGCCCTGGCTGGGATGATCTAGTTGGGGTCGATCCTGCTTTGAGCAGGTAGTTGGATTAGATGTGATCTCCTGAGGTCCCTTCCAACCTTAATTTTCTGTGATTGTGTGTGCTTGGAGACCTGCTGTGCCGTAGTGGCTGGGAGTAGCAGCTGATCAGAGCTCCCACGTAGCATGGCAGGAAGCACGATTGTTGGAATTGCCTATTGGATCCCATGGTGCCTTTAACTGAATGCCTGCTGGGACTTGTGTCCATACATATTGTGTGCTTTCTCAGTTTAGGCAGGTCATGTTAAGGTATTTCCAAAATGATACGGCTTATCGCCTGTTCTGTTGTGGTATTGGACAAAGTATTCAGGATATCTTGTAGTTTGGGTTCTGTTTAACAATCTGCTTATGCAAGTTCCTTTCCATAGCCTTCTCCCCCCTCCCCCCACCCCTTGTGGCATACCTTTTGGTTAGCTTTGCATACCTCTGCTTTCTGTAAACTGATCTTTCTGTCAGTACTGTCAGCATAAATGTCCCACAGACGGTTCCTTATAATTTAGGTAGTCCTTCCATATAATCTCCTTACACTTTTGATGTGTTTTTTATTCTAGTAATTCATTATGAAGAAACGTAAAAGTGTTTGTCAATGCCAATAACATGTAACAGTTTCATAGTAGCTAGGGTCAGGAGGGACCTGAACAGATCATCTAGCCTGACCCCCATTATTTATTAGGTGAGATGATAATATATATCTCTTGCCTTGTATCTTAAGCTGGTATCAGTGTGCCATGCCTCTCGTTTGATCCTGAACATTTTGGCTGGATTTCCTTTAAAAAATGTTCAGTTGGCAACAGCTGCTCAATATGTAAATTGAGCATATCACCTTTTTAAATAAATAACTTAATTATACCTTTTGTTAATTTGGGGTTCTTTTGTCGATTACATTTCTAACACACAAACCATCAGTTGAACTATTTTCATTACTTATCAGGTTACTCCATCAGGAAAGCTTTCTTAAATTTCAGGCAGTTATTATATTGGCTTTTTTATTTTATGTAGAATTGACACCTTTTAGGACCTATCGCATTTTGGCAGCACACATACTAAAATTGACACCTTTTAGGACCTATCACATTTGATACCTTTAATGTACTATGCATCTCCTTGTATTATAAAGTGCTTAGTATACTAATTAGAAAAGGTAAGAAGTTGCTTCATCATCAGATAACAGTATCTTGTTATATTTGCTAGCTTGTTGTTGCTATTGCATAACCATAAACTTCCTGTGGAATGCAGAGGCAAGGATTTCTTCGGGTGATATCTTTTAATTATCGTTTCTAATCACTCCAATAAATCCTTGCCTCTTCCATCATTTCTGCATCCGACTACAACATCACTCTTATACTATCCGGGACATGGAAGCATCTGTGCCTCATTAATTTGACAAATGCTTTGGAAGCCCAGATTTGAATATAACCTGTAATCGCAGGTGTATATGTTGTTAACTGCACAAACATGATTACAGTTAAAGAATACTAGTATTGCAAGGGCCAGCACGTGGAAGTTGAGTCCAGGATTTAGCCACCTTGTGTGTGTACACTATAATAAAGTGTTTAGATTCATGATTTGATCCCATACATTTTTTCTATTTGACACCTTTGTCATTTGGTGCGCACAAACTTCAGAGCTCATTTAATGAACAATAAATCAATATTTTGTTTTAATCTTTTTTTTAGTGCATGGCCTCTTAGCATATTTAATTAATACTATCCAAATCCCTCACTGAAGACAGCATTTTTTCATTGCCTCTTGATCTTTTCTTTGGTGCTTCTTGTTAAGTTCAAGTATCATAAATATTGATGAATGTATTTTCATAATACCCCTGGAATGTGAAGAGGTTTTGTATCCCCATTTTACAAAACTGGAATTGAAGAGAATAAGGTAAAACATTTCCATTAATTTTTGGTATCTCATTTAGAGTGTGTAGGAACTTTTTTTTCCCCTTTTTTCTTTGAGTAGTTAGCAGTTGATGCGTTCATAGCACAGCTTCCATTGACTTCTGTGCTATTAGTGATGGCTAAGCACTTTTGTAAATCAGGTGCCAGCATATTAGATTGAGCCATAGGAAATCAGGAGCATATGAATAATGACCAGATGTGAGAGAACCTTGTAGCAGAGGCAGGGATAGAATCCAGTTCTTTGGGACTATCTATACTTTCCCCAGAGCCTGATGAAGGGCCTTTGAGCCCAAAAGCTTGCAGAAAAGGATAATTATTTTGCTATTTCCCAGTTGGTCTAATAAAAGGTTTCGTTTTGGAGCCAAGAGTTCTAGATTTTTGTAGTTCTTTGGGACAGCATTCATACACTTTACCCAAGAAACTACTTTACAGACAGTAGCCTTGTTAACCACAAACCTGATTCATCTCCAGAGTGCACTTCCATCCTAGGTAGCGAATGAAACAAAAGACTTGTAGGAAAAAATATAGTATGCACTTATATAATTGCTGCATATCACTGCATGGGTACAAAAGGGCCAGATCAAGGCAGCAAAGGTAATATTAATTCTTGCATTTTTGAGTTTATGAATGCATGACTTTGCTGCATTAAGAAACATCCAAGTTGCAATATTTGTGACTAATATCCCAGATGTTTAAAAAAACATCCAGAAGAACAGGAATTGTTTTTTCCTTGCATGTTTCATTAGCAAGATAGAACCTTTAGATTAACAGTTTGACATTTGCTAATGGAGCAACTGATTGCAGTATCTGGATTGTGGTCCAACAGTTATGCTGAGCATGAGGTGTAAGCTTTGCCAGTGAGTTTCACAGATATTTTTGACCCAGTGCTGCCAGGAAAAGATCTGTAATGGTTAGAGATGCTTCTCCCTTATAGCCTGCTTTGGTTTTGTCTCTTCAGCTGTTCCCCATGCACCTTGTTCTATTCCTAGACTCTCCCTCTCTGAGCCTCTGTTTCAAGCCTCCCACCTTCTGTTGTTATCTGTCTTTTTTTCCCATTATGTCCCAAACTGTCTCCCAGTATTGACACTTCCTCTTTCCCAGTTCTTCCTTCTGTGATGCCTGCACTTCATTTGAGTCGTGTTGCTTTGTTCCTTCCAGGTGCTGGGAGCTAGCAAAACCAGCTGGCATTGATAGATGAGATTTGTGCCAGCACCACACAATGGAGAAATAGCTGCTAGAAAGTTCTGCTCAATTCCTGTAGTTATGGATTGGAGCACACCTAATGCGGGCAGTCTTCTTAGGGAATTTAGCTGTTAGGCTAACAGGTCCCTGCTTGGCATGTGTAAACTGATTATTTTCAAAGTCTTATAGTTTGCCCAAATTTGGGTGCCTCTTTATGGGAAGATCAAAAACTTACCATATTTACATAAGACACCCCCCCAATTATTAGGATTCTGTACATAGAAAATTTATAAATTTGTTCTAATTTTCCATCTGTAGAATCTAAATCCTAGATTCATAGATTGTAAGGGGCTGAAAGGGACCTTGCAAGATCATCGGCTCCAGCCCTTGTGCGCTAGGCAGAAAGAGAACTGGGGACAGGTGATTTATTAAAGGGTCATCTTAAATTTGTCCCTATTAGTACTGCAGCAGGGAAAGCAGTGGTGGGGGGGGATAGGAGAGGGCAAGCAGTGTGGAGGATGGGGGGAGAAGGGCAGGCAGCTTGCTCCTGCCCCCCTTCTTCCCAACTCCTCTCCCATGCCACTTCTGCCCCCTGCAGCCTCAGGCCTCCTTGAAACCCCCATCTCACTTGACTCTAGAGTCACTGCCCCTCCTCCCCATTACCACTTACCTTTGCTGTGGTGCTGGCAGGCTCCATCCCCATGGGTCGAGGGCTTGAAACTGTGGTGTGGGAGAGGCAGGATTACGCATACATGGTTAAAATTTTGGCAAAGCAGCCAAAAATGCGGTTTTACAGGACATTTCAGGAAGCCTAAAAGAAATAACGTTGCTAGCGCTGCCTATAATAAAATTAAGCGAGCTGTTTCTTCGCTACATAAATCATACCAGGATTTTTTTGGCTTGGTTTTCTAGGTTTTCATTTATCGCTTGTTCTGGAAGAGCAGAGACCGGCCTCGAAGAATTCGCATGGAAGATATCAAAAAGGCATTTCCTTCTCACTCCGAGAGCAGCATTCGAAAGCGATTGAAACTCTGTGCTGACTTCAAACGTACAGGTAAGTTAGAGAATTGCATGTAGAGAACTATTTGCCCATCACGGTCACCTTCTCTGTCTGCTGTTCCCTTTTTCTCTTCCAGGAAACCGTGGAAAGCCAACCTCTTTCTAGAAGGATACTGTATTTATATACTCTTATTTGCTTAAAATGTGAATTATGGAACATCTGCCATGTGAGGACAGGCTGAAAAGGGCTTGATTTCTTCAGCATGGAGGGGATATGATACAGTCATGAACTATGTGAATAAGGAAGTAATATTACTGTGTCTCACAATACCCATTCTAGGACGTACCTGGTGAATACATCCAGCAGTAGGTTTAGACCACACAAACCAAAGTACCTTTTTATGTAATGCTAATTAATATGTAGAACTTTACCATACAATGCTAATAGCATAACCCAGGGGTTGTCAACCGGGGCACATGTACCCCTGGGGACACTTGGGCAGGCCACAGGGGGTACGTGGTGGAGGTGCAGAGAAGCGGGAGCACTTGGGAAGCAGTGCCGTGGACTGCTGCTGGAGGCCCCAAGGGTTACGCGGCAGTGGTGGCACGCAGCAGCACGTGCCACTGCTTCCTGAGTACCCCCATTTCTCATGCCTCCACGGTGTACTCCCTGGGCCCTTCCACTCTGGAGGTGTGGAGAAGTGGGGGTACTCAGCTGTCAGCACTGTGCTTCCCTCCCCCCATTAAAAAAGGTTGAAAACCCCTGGCATAACCCATCTCAAAAAAGGATTAGATGTGTTTAAGGAAAAGACTAATCCAAACACAAATGCATAATGGGAAATATAACTGGCTCAATGGCAGCATTGCTGAGAAAGGTTAGATGTTTTGGTGGATCACAGACTCATCATGTGACAGCTTCTTCAACATAGCATTATATCTGAGACATGGGAGGTGATTGCCATTTCATGGAGCTACTGGTTAGGCTTCACCCAGAGTATTGGATACAGTTTTGGGCTGTGGGGAAGGATGTGGAGAAGATGAAGTAGGTGGATAACAAATGATCAGGAACTTGGGAGGCAAGCTTTATGAGGAGAGGTTGAGAGAATCGGGCATGTTCAGTTCGGGGAAAAGGCAACAATAGCAG